TTCAGCTCAGGTCATGATCCCAGAATCCTGGAATCGAGTCCCACATTGGGCTCCCTGCTCGGCGGGAAGCCTGCTTCTCCCTCTCCCACTCCCCCTGCTTGTGTTCCTGCTCTTGCTGTCTCTGTCTCTGTCAAATAAATAAATAAAATCTTTAAAAAAAAAAATCAAGAAGGCAAGGTCCAATTTTATGTTGCTTGTAAGAAATCCACTTTAAGGCAAAAGACATCAATAGGTTAAAAATAAAATGATGGAAAAAATATATAATGGGAGCTGGATTACCTATATAATTTCACACAAAGTAGACTGCAGAGCCAGGAAACATCACCTGGGAAAAGCAGCTCTTTCCATAGTGATAAGGGGGATACGAGTTTCAACTTACCAAGAGGACATAATCCTAAACCTTTATTATGCACCTAATAATAGATCGCCAAAATACATGAAGCAAAACTAATAGAACTGTACAAAATTCTGTCCACAGGTATAGTGGGAGATTTCAACACCATTCTCTCAAAAACTGGTAGACTGTCTGGGCAGAAAGTCTGTAAGGGCATAGGAGACCGATGAACGGTCTCAGCCAGCTTGACGTCATGGACATTTAAAAAACATACCACCCAACAGCGACAGAATGGAGCATGGACAATACAAGAATTCTCAAGACATTTAAAAAGATTCAAGGCACACGAGGCATCATCTCTGACCACAGTATAACTAAGTAGAAGTCAATAACAGAAAGATCTCTGGGAAATCTTCAATAAAAGAATGTATTTCTTCATAACTTTTGGTCCAAAGAAGAACTTTGAAAGAAACTCAGAAAGTTCTTCAAACCAAAGGAAAATGAAATGACATATAATGCCAAAATTTGTGGGATTAAAGCAGCACTTGGAGGAAAATGGATTAAAAAAAACCCTGAGTCAGAGAAGATACAAATCATCTTTAGAAACTAGAAAATAAGAGTAAATTAAACCCAAAGTCATCAGAGGAAAAGAAAGATCAGAGTGGAATCCAGTGAAATGGGAAACTCAAAAATAACAGAGAAAAATCAGTAAAACCAAAAGATGTTTCTTGAGAAGATCAATAAATGTATGAACTTCTTGTCACACTGATCAAAAATCCAATAAATGGTAAAGGGGGAAGAAGAGAATGGTATGAACAATGTCGTGATGATAGAATGAACAACGTTCGGGGAATGACACAAATTTCCAAAGATACCTCAAAAAGAAATGGAAAACCTGATAGCCCTTTATCTTTAGAAAAACTGATTTTAGTTAAAACCTTCCCATTCTAAGTACATACATACAAATCCAAGCCCAAGGGCTTCACATCGCCAGACATCTGAGGAAGAAATGGTACCAACTCTACGAATTCTTCCGGAAACCCGAAAAGGAAGGAACACACTTGAGGCCTGCTTCACTCTGACCTCAAGGCCTTGTCTGGCCTACAAGACTACGGAACGACAACATTCATGAATGGGGATGCAAATATTCTTACCAAATTCTGGCACAGTGAATCCAACAACACACAGAACCGTTCCTACGTCACAGGCAAGCCCACGCTGGGCCGCCTCCCTTCGGAGCGCCACCAATATGGCGCCAGCGCTGATGGGAATCACCCTCCTGAGTCAAGCATTCACTGGTACAGACATCAGCTGCTCTATTATCATCGAAACTACAGCTGGCGTCATGGTTATCTGGCGCGCCCAAGGAAAACACCGCTCTGGGACAAAAGCATTGTGAGGGCCACCGATGAAGAGGCAAGCTCGAGTATGCAGGTTTATGTGACCAGCCCGGGCTCGGTAAATAATTAACCCCCAGCCAGCTCTGGCCTGGCCGTTTCACAATAGCGTGAGACACCGTGGTGTGGGCAAGACAGGCTGACATGCCCGGAGGGCAAACAGGCAAAGTCTAGAGATTGCCTTGTTTTGCTGGGTTTACGGGAAAGTGACGTGGCATTTCTCGTTACAGATCCTTGGAAAAACATGTCAGTGTGTTGTGTGTAGGCAACCCTACAAACAACGGCGGGGCAGGGGGGGGTTTCTCTGGCACTGAAGTCTCTGGAAAGCTCACTTGGAGGTGGGGGCCGGGCATGGCACGGGGTGCTGGCGGTGGAGGACCTCAGGGCAGGATCAACCCCCAGGCTTACCAACAGTTAAAGGGACGCCGATGCCAAGAGCAGTGCAAAAGCCGCCTCGGCCTCCGTCCGTGAGGGTAGCCGCGGAGCAGGTGTCCGGTGAACAGGCTGGGGGCCCAGACTGGCACACCCCCAGGTCTGGGGTCCAGCCCGGCGCTCCGGCTCACCCTGAGTCTGTTCTTCTCAAGCTCTGAGTAGCTATTCACAGCTCAAAGATCAGAAACCAGAGGGGCCAGCTGACCACGGGGTGGGCATCTCCGGGGACCAGCTGGCCCGGTCACCCTGGAGAGCCAGCCGGAGCCAGACAAGACCAAGTCCCTTAGCACAGCCCACAAAAGAGGCTGTTCTCTGTTACCTGGCAAGGTTTTGGCAAACGGCCGTGGTCAGGCCTCCCTTCTGGGAGCCCACGTATACAGCCATCGGCTCTGGCTTCTACTCGGACCCGAGACCTCCCGGAGGGCTCTGCCAACAGGCCCCTGCCACCTTCTTCAGCAGGTTTGGTCAGTGCGGAGCGTCCGCAGGAGCAGGGAGAGCACGGCTGGGTCCCTTCCCGCACGTCACTGAGGGCTGGCTGTGTCCCATGGCTGCAGGCCGTGAGTCTTATCTGGTGGCCCACAGCCACCGCACCAGCCCGGGGTTGCCCGATACCTGCCAGGGTCTTCAGCGCCCCTGAGCTCACCTGGGCTGTGGTCAGGCTGTCATGCGGGACGACAGTGGCAGCCCAAGTCCCTTGAGGGGCGGAGCCAGCATCAGGGGTGTTCCCCAGTCTGCGGGGGGACTCTGGCCGGCACTGTCCACACAGCCCAGCCCACGTGTCCCAGCCCCACGCACAGGGGGCCAAGGGGCTCAGCATCTCAGGGGCCTCTGCCCCCCCGACTCCAGAATCCAGGTGTGCAGGGAAGACGGCGCTGGGCGGCAGGCCCCTCAGAAGCAGGGGTCCCCCCAGCACACGGGGGTGGGGACTGCCCAGAGAAGAAACTGAGCACACCGGGTGGAGAAGGACCGAAACAGGCACATCCCCGGGGACAGAAAGGAGACTAGCTGTTGCTCAGGGTTGGGGTGGCCGAAGTAGAGAGTGACCGCTAATGGGCACAGGGTTCTTCCTGGGGACATGCGAATGTTCTAGCCCCATGGTGACGGTTGCCCAACTCAGTAAATACACCGAAAGCCACTGAACTGTATCCTTTACAGGAACGAGTTGTGCGGAGCGTGAATTCTACCTCAGTGCGGCTGTTAGGTAAAACAGAATAATTAAGTTGTGTTCTCCCCAGCGTACGTATTTGTGTGCGTATACACACGCACAGATACACGTATGTACGTGGAATATGCGTGCGTGTGCACACATGCGTCTTCCCTCTTTTGTTTACCCAAAGTAACAGATTCATCCTTCGTGATCTTGAATATGCGTCCCGCCCTGACGTCCTTAGCCCGAATCTGTCTTTTCCAGGCTAACGAAACCAGAGAGCAAGTATCAGACTGGCCACTGCAGGTGGAACGTCCCCGGAGGCGAGCAAGGCGGGGTCCGAAGGCCGCGCAGCCACACCGAGCCCCTGCCCTGCGCCAGGCCCGCCGCCAAGCCTGTCCGCGTAGGAAACTACAGTGACCATATCCCCCCCGGGATGGAACATTTTACGTGTCACCTGGACCGGGCCACAGGGCTGCGAACATCGTTTGTGGGGGTCTTTGCTGGTCTCTGGAGGGATTAACACTTGAATGGCTGGACTGAATGACGCAGATGGCCTTCTTCAGCGTGGGCGCCCTTACCCCCCCAATCCTCTGGGTTTCACCTGTCCGGGGTCGGACCGCAGCTATCCCTGCGCCCTGGACCCCAGCGGGGCCCCTGGCTGCCCACGGGGCTCCTGGGACGAGGACGCTCCCACCTGCCCCGGACACCACTCGGACCCCTGGTCATCCCGGTTCAGCCGTGTCCCCGCCACCTGGGCCCCTCACATCTGTGCCCCGTTCCCCACCTGCAGGCCCCACCCTGGGCAAGGCTGCTATGAGAACAAACACTATTAAATGCCCTGGACACTAAAGAGCTGCTTCTTAATACGTCAGAATAAGAAGACTCTTGAGAGCTAACACTTGTGGGTCTCCATTCTATGGCACGCCTCCTCCCCAAGTTTAGATGGGGAAGCCGAGCGGAAGCAACCTGCCCAGGGTCAAGAAGTTTGCACGGTGCACAGACGGAGTTTGAACTTGGCCCAGAAAGCCAGATGGCCTCCCCGCCCAAAGGCTGAGGACACAGCAGGTGACAAGGGGGTCCCAGAGACACCAGCCCCGCATCCTGGGCTGGGCCCAGAAGTGCACCTGTGTGCTGGTCGCTCGGCAGGTGCACAGTGCAAGCCTTTGGTGGTCGTCCCCTCCCTCCCTGGGGCTGAGGCCCAGGGACAGCTCCCACATCTGCACTCCTCAGCCCCCTTCAGGCCTCTTGTGCCAGAATTTGCCAGTGTGCTTGGTAATAATGGAGAGTCCTGCCCTCCCCCACCTGCAGACCTACTAAATCTGGGGTGCACGGTGCAGGAGTCGGTGTTTTCTGGAGTCTGCCATGACCCTGCGAAGACCCGCTGTCACATGCAGCCCGGGGAAGGCTGAGCCACTCTGCACCACGCCCCAGAGCTAGAATGCCTTTGGGACAGGGAACTCACTGCTCGAAACACCGCCAAACTCTGGCACCCGTCAGGCAGGGCTCACGAGGCAGTCGCCTGCTCCCCAGCGCTGCCTTCCCCTGGCCCCCGTCCTACTCCTCGGCCCCAGCACTGCGTGCTCCATCCGCACGCCAGCTGGTGTCCAGATAGGAGCCCCTGACTCCCCTCCCGAGGGGCCCCTTTGCCACACGCCCCCCTCCATGGAGCAGAGAGAGCGCATCTTGCCTGTGCCGCCCACAGGTAGTCCAGCCGCAGCTTGATGTCCACCTGCCGGGCGTGCAGGGCCAGCGTGCACGAGAACAGCAGGATGGCCATGATCGGCTCGAAGCTGCGCCCGGAGACCGCGCCGCCCCTGTGCGGGTTGAGGAAGGAAACCTCGTCAGCACGGGGAACCCCAGACCCGGCCCCACCTGCCCCTGGACGCCATACTCAGCAGCACATGCCACAGACCCGGGCTAAAGCCAGTCTCGCCGGGAAACCCAGGGCCTGGCCGGAACCGGGCCCTAAATGGACACGTGGAGAAGCCACAGAACCAGTGTGCTTCCTGACGCGCAAACAGGAACAGGCAGCGCCTGAGCGGGCGCACGCAACACCAGCCAGGTGTATCCCAGTGGGGGGAGCGCACCTACCCCGAGGCCCTGGTGTACCCGCTGAGCTCCAGGACCAGGATGTAGGACGTCGTGAGCACGAAGAGCAGGATCATTTTGGGCAGGGAGGACACCCGCAGGAAGATGGCCAGAGGCAGGGTGCCCACGAGGCCGCAGAGCAGGGCGTGGGGCGCCGACTCGCAGGGGGCGGCGGGCAGCACTGCGTTCCGGCCGCCAGGCCTCAGGACCACCAGGGACCCGTTGGGGCTGGAGCTCCAGGCCCAGGGCAGGCAGCCCACCTGGAGGGGACAGAGGGGAGAGAGACGCCCACTCAGGACCAGCCCACCCTCCACCTCCAGCCCACTACAGCCTCTGGCTGCGGACCCGCGCCCCCCAGGTGCCACCAGAAGGCCTTGGACCCTCCCTCCTGCTCTGCCTTCCAGACTCCTCACAGCAGGGTGGGCAGGGCCAGGGGGATGGAGACCCCTGCCATCCTCCCCAGACCGCCAGCCCCCACTGGGTGCTCCTGCCCCTCTCCTATTGTTACTGCAGCCCTGCCTCCCTCCTGTTACTCCTCCCCTACCTCCCCCCTGGTACTCCCCATCCCACCTCCCTCCCAGTACTCCCCATCCCACCTCCCCCCTGTTACTCCCAATCCCACCTCCCTCCTGGTTCTCCTCCCCCACCTCCCTCCTGGTACTCCCCATCCCACCTCCCCCTGTTACTCCCAATCCCACCTCCCTCCTGGTTCTCCTCCCCCACCTCCCTCCCGGTACTCCCCATCCCACCTCCCCCCTGTTACTCCCAATCCCACCTCCCTCCTGGTTCTCCTCCCCCACCTCCCTCCTGGTACTCCCCATCCCACCTCCCCCTGTTACTCCCAATCCCACCTCCCTCCTGGTTCTCCTCCCCCACCTCCCTCCCGGTACTCCCCATCCCACCTCCCCCCTGTTACTCCCAATCCCACCTCCCTCCTGGTTCTCCTCCCCCACCTCCCTCCTGGTACTCCCCATCCCACCTCCCCCTGTTACTCCCAATCCCACCTCCCTCCTGGTTCTCCTCCCCCACCTCCCTCCTGGTGCTCCCCATTCCACCTCCATCCTATTATCCCGCCACCACCTCCCTCCTGTTACTCCTGCCCCAGTCTGTCCTGCCTCTCTGCCCCAGCTTCTATCATCTACACACTGTGAAGGGGCTGGGTGTCCCTTCCCCAGGAGACGGCATCCCCCTCGATCCCCCTCCACACCTCACTCCACGCCTCCACGCCAGACCCTGCTGCCTCTTAAGATGCTCACCACACATCCTTGGGCCACAGAGTAGATTAGGACCACTATGAAAATACACAAGATGGTGCGGATCTGGATCGTCAGGCATCCTGGAAAACACTGAACAGCACAACACGTTACTGTAAAAACGGGCGTTTATTAAGGATTGGTTCGCGTGCTCTGAAATGGGCACAAGGCTGCTGGGCCCCCACCCACGGCTCCCTTCCACACGCACTCCTTGCTGAGCTCAGGCTCCACCTCCCAAGTCAACAAACTGCCCAAATCAAAAGAAACAAAAACTAAGGTCTTTAAATTAAAAAAAAAAACACACCTGCCACCACGTAGCCCTGCTGTGACTGAGGCACTAAAACGAACCGCATCCATGAATGTGACATCTTATCTCAGAAACAAGGATTTACGTTTATTTGTGTTTTCTCTTATGTGCTCCGTCATTTTCTTCACAGAGGCTTGGCGTCATTTTTGTTATTAGAAACTTTACTGTAAATCTATTTAAGTACATTTTGTGAGATTCAACACGCAACTGACTTTATGGATAAAAGTGCCAAGTTCTTTTTAGATTCACGCTCGTGAAATTGGAAACAAAAGCTAAAGTAAAGACGGCAGGGACTCCGCACAGGATGCTGACGAGACCCCCAGGCAGCCAGGGTGCCCAGGCCGCCGTGGGACTACCCGCCGTCCTCCCCCGGGAAGTGAGGACCCTCGCTGTCCCCGGTCTGCAGGCGAGCAAACACGGCCCCACCAGCCAGCCTCCCTCATTCCATGGAGCTCACGCAGTTGCAGCGACGGATCTGGGTCCCGTTCAGGATTCCTGAGCCCCAACACTGCTGCGTTGTGCAGACAGGCTGGGCCCCCGAGATCTCAGAGAGAAGAGATCTGCGGCAGCACCAGCCCCGACTGCCTCACGGACCTGGTGCCCGCCGCCTCCCTCCCCGTCTAATCTCGTGTCAGCCCTGGGACAAGGCTGAGGATGTGGCCATGGGATTCTCGCCCCCCAGCCAACAAGGCACACACAGCTCACGCATTCACTCAGCAAACACTGGAGGGGCTCCTCCCGGCGGTGGACGTCAGGAGCCCCGTGGGGGCACTGCCCAGAGCCTGGCCCCTGGTGCCCTGGCAGAGGCAGAAACAGCACAGAGGTCCCTCGGGGAGGCGGTGAGTGGGTGGCCGCCAGCCGAGGCCCAGCAAGCCCTGCCCGGGGTGCACAGGGGCCGAAGTGGAAGGCGGCCTGGAGCCAGGTCTGCGGTGTGGGGGGAGGGCAGCTAGGCAAGGCTCAGGGGCACAGAATCACAGGCAGCCTGCCAGGATGAACACACCATTCCCATTTGTGTGGCAAATGGCCAAACGGTGGCGGGTTCCTGCAGGTTCCATACAAGCTGCCCACATGGATCCTCCGGGCCCGGTCCCTCCCTTTGAGCTCTACATAGAGTGCACGCTAACTGCTCACGTGATGCTTTATTTACAGGTGGGAATCCACTGAGTCCCGGGCACTGACTCCTCCCCCCTCCTGCCACAGCACAGGAGTCTCATCCAGGGATCTGATCTTTTCCTAAAACCCAGGCTTTGGGGCCACTGAGCCCAGCTGACCCCACAGGACCTGGCGCACTGCCCCGCCAGGCTAGGAGGGCACGCCGGGAGCCGTGACGTGGGCCAGCAGGAATCAAGGGGTGCTGCGGCTTTGTGTGACCTCGTCACCCTTCTGGGCCCTGCTTCAGGGCCGCCGAACCCTGGCCGGCTGTGTGCTCAGCGCCAGGAGCCCCGCTGCATGAGCATGGGGACGTGGGACGTCGCCAGCTCACACGCACAGGACCCCGCTGGTTCCTGCTCACTCCACTAGACAGGCATCTCCCCTCCCCTCGGCCCACCCTGGGGGCTTCCAGGCCCATCAGAGGCAAGACCACAGCGGACACGGACTAACTCGTGAGCTTGCGGGTCGGGGGGAGCCCCTGGAGCGGAGCGACCAGCTGCCCCGATACGTGAACCACAGCTCAGGCTCTGGATGGGGTTCAGAGCAAAGCCCGGTCATTCTCTGGAGACACTCTGGTCCTGCTCCCGGGTCTCGGCCACGGGCCAGCAAGGTGCCAGGGGCCTTGAGCCACCTCCTGAGCGGGGTGTTGTGTGACCCTCCAAGCCTGGAAGGTGGGTGTGCACGGACGGCAACCCCCCGTCATCGAGTGGGAGAGGCACAAATGTGATCGGGCCCAGGCAGGCCCTGGGGGCACACACACATCACACCAAGGAGAGACCCAGACACCACGGTCCCCACTCCTGTTACACCTGTGATCATTCACGATCAGCTGATGGAGGAAGAGAAGACTCCACTAGCTTCCAGCAGGTTCTACACGACCTGAAGGCACCGCCCAGAGTGGGCAGCTGCAGCCACGATGACCCCCTCTGGCTTGTCCCCGAAGGACAGTGACGGTAAATCCTGCCAACGGGCAGAACGTCAGGCGGAGCACCTGCCGGGTGTTCTGCTTGGAAGGAGAAGGGGCCAGATGTGCCGTCATTCGCTGACTCGCGGGCGCTGGCCCGTGGTCCGGCTGGACGGTTAGGGACGCACAAGGAGCGTGACTGCAACAGTGACAAGGAAGTCACCACTGGGGCACACGTCTGGGGGGCGGAAAACACGGTGTCCTGTGTGAATGCTACCAGTGGGGGACCTCGGCGGACAAGGAGTGTAATAATCGGCGGGGGAGGCCTGTTCTGGGGACACCTGTCAGCCCCTCTCCCCAGCTGCCCCTGCCACCGCCCATGGACTCATGGACAAAGGGTCCGTGGGGGCAGGGACAGAGGTGACGCTCAGCAGCAAGGACACCCACTCACCAAGGCCAACCTGGCCACAGCCACCGATCCTGCCCAATCCCAGCAGAGACCAATAGGGAGCCCCCGACACGGCACCCTTCTCCTAACGGGACTCACAGGGAAGGGACTCTGGGAAGGAGCATCCATCCGGGCCCAGGTGACAGGCACAAAGCCACGCGGCCCCCCTGCTGGCCGGTCACACCACCAGCCTCACCCCATGGCCCAGCCGCAGCAGACTCTCTAGCCTCCCTCCACTCTCACTGGGGGACATAGCAGGTGCATGCTGCTGGACCCCCCTGGTCTTACCACGACCCCCCCCCCCAAAGCACACGGCTCACGGACGGTGAAACGCCCTTCTGAAGACTCAGTTACGGTGCAGGCTGAGTGCCCGCTCTCGCAGAGCCGGGGTCACGTCCTCCTGGTCCCCGTGGCGCGGTCCTGGCCTCGTGGCACACTGCGGGACCGTGGAGAACACCGCGCCAATGGAAACAGCGCAGTGTTCCCACAGATTGTCCCATGGCCCTTAAAAATGATCGTTAAAATATCAAGACGCTCGGCACGTGATGTAACGAGCACTGGGTGTCATGTGCAACTGATGATTCACTGAACTCTACCTCTGAAACTAATAATACACTATATGTTAATTAACTGAATTAAAACTAACTTAAAAAATACATCAAAACTCTCTTACTGTTGTTTATAAAGCCAGAGATAAAAACCAGTGAGGCTGGTGTGCATCTGGTACGCTTGCGATGGGCACAAAATGGTCCCCACGGTCTCTCCCTCACTGCCTGGGCCCGGGGGGAGCACGGTCCCTCGACCACGTGGCAGCCCACGGCGGAGGGTTGCAGCCGTGGTCGGCCTCAGCAGTGGGCGGACTCTGTTACTCACCAAGGACAGGCGGGTGGACCCAGGTCAACCACACCAGGTCTTAAAGCCAGCAGGTGGCAGAAGGGGGAACAGGCGGGCTGGGGGCACGGGAGGGACTCCACACGCTGGTGCTGGCCTGGGGAGACTGGAGAGGAGCCACCAGGAGCTGGGGTGACAGTCCCCCCACCGCCCAAGCCAGATCTCACCGACAGCCTGAAGGAGCCCCCACAAAGCCTGCGGGCACCTTCCCTTTGGCCGCGCACTGCCCAAAGCTGGGAGCCAGCTGGCCGTGCCTGCCCTCGGACCCCTGAGGCTGTCAGGCAGCAAAAGGAAGAGGGGACGGATGCTGGAAGTGGGGAGCGCCCGAGACCAGGCGGTGGGGGTGGGAGTCCGAGCACAGGATTCATAAGCCATGCCCGCCCCGCCCCTGCTTCATATTTGTCTCCTCTGCTCTCCTGCCCTGCAGATTCCAGACTCCCCCAGGGACGGAAACCCATCAGGCAAAGGAGGAAGACCAAACCCCAGGAAGGGATCCCTTCTACATGGGGCGGTCGGATGTATGGTCTTTGTGCTGCTTTCCTAGGGGGCTCTGACTGGCAGAAGCCAGGGTGCTGGGAGGGAAGCTTGTGGGTTCTTGGAGGGAGAAGCCAAAGAGGTCCCTTCCCTGCTCGGGGAGTGGCGAATGGAGGTACAGCTGGCTGTATGGGACCCCACAAGGAAGGCCAGCGTGGGCTCAGGCAGGCCCGAACGGGCAGGAGAGGGCCCAGAGAACAGGTCTCCGGTCTCAGCTGCCGATCGGAGTCACTGGAGAGCACGAGCCCTGGGTCATCCCACCCCACCCCACGGCTGTTTCTGAATAGGCGAGACAATCAGTTCCCTTTGGCATCCAAGACCAATACGTGAGCTGGCTCTTCTGTGACCTGCAAATTCACGTTCCTTAAGGCCACCATGCCCACACCCCAGGCGGGAGCCCTGACTGCCAGCCACGGGCTGCTGAGACCTTCCCTCCACGCGAATACCTGATCCTAGAAACGTATTTGCTCAAATGCAAAGGGTTGAAACGCTTTTCTGAAAAGTGAACAATGCTGGCCACGAAGACTGATGTGGGGCGGAGCCTGCATGCTGTGGGCCACACATGGACGCCAAGGGGCCTGTCTTAGCTTTAAGACCCGTGGCCTACTTATCCTGGCAGTTAATTTGATTATATATCCACGGAGCAAAAACGAGCATGGAAAATTGTTGTAATCCGGGAAAAAACAGCGGATCTGCCCTGAACCCAGGCGAACCACCCCAGAGCGTGAAACACAGTTATCAAACGTGGCCCAGCGGATTGTCGGGGGTTGCACACCCTCCGGGCACACCGTCCACACAAAAGGCATCCACGCTAAGTCCAGCCACGGCCACATGAGCACCTGCAAGCACGACAGATGCAGAACATCCCCAAGGCCCCAGTGGGCAATGCCACAGAGCACCACGGGACGTCTGCCTCTCTGTGGAGTGGGCCATGCCCAGGACACACCGGGAGGAGGCCACGTCCGTGTGCACCAACCTGGGCACACTCTGCCAGGTGACCCGAGCCTGAGCCTCACAGCCGAGGGTTTGCAAGACTGAGGCAGGTGTGGCAGCCGTGGCCTCCACCACTCAGCTCGACGCAGCCTGCTTTCCCGGCGCCTGGGGGTTAAGGCCCAGGATGACGTGTCCACCAGGGGCAGGGCTTATGCAAGTCGGAGCAAGCATCGGGGTGAGAATCTCTGGGCTGTCACGGCACGGACAGAGCTGAAACCACCTGCCGGAGCCCCGATTACAGCTGCTGCTGGGCGAGGCTGTCCTCCTCTTGTGTCTGTCCCTTTAGCCCCCAGCTAGCCCTGGGGCGGGGAGCCCCCAATAGCAAAGCATACCTGACCTTGAAGAGGCTGCCTAACAGTCCCTTCCTGCCCGGCCCAGCCAGCCTGGCCTCACCGCCCCTCGCAGCCGGCTGGTCCCACTCAGCCCCCTCCTAGCTCTCACCCCGCACCCTCAAGCCCACTCTCTTGCTGGCCCACAGCACTGCGGGCCCCTCCTCCCCATTCCGGCCTCCTGGCCCCCTCTTGGCCCCATTGACCCCGTCCCTTTGTTCTCTAGCATCTCGCCTCGTGTGCCAGGCTCCTGCTACTGATGCTTATCAGCTCAATTCCCACCCCGTGTCACAGACGGGGACTCGGAGGCCCCAGGGCCAGCAGCCCCTAGCAATGGGGGAGCCAAGCGGGGGGATGAAGGTGCCGGGCGGCCACGGAGCTGGCCCAGCTGCCCGGATGCCCTGGCTGTGGCCGCCTGCCCTGTCCCAGCAGAAAGCACCTGCCCAGCTGACTCACGCTTTCCCATGGAGGCCTCGCTACCGTGGGCCCGGGCTCACCCGCATGCACAGCCCTGCCCACCCATACCTGTCCTCCATGGCAGATGTCGGCCTCCGGTGATGGCCCGGCCCCACCTGCCGGCCACCACCCCCTCCCCAGCCTGCTGCCACCACCTGTGCCCCACGGTCTCCGGGCCACACCCCGGGGTGGACACTCAGAGCTTGCTCGGGGACACCGCCGGGCGCGTGAGACTGAACTCCACAGGGTTCGGGCTGAGACCACCTGCGCCAGGAGGAGCGTGTCCCCCCCAGCTCCCGGCTCCCAGCTCCCCAGCGGGCTGTGGCAGGCTCTAGAAGCTGGCTCCACCTGGCACGTGCTCACCGAACATTATGTGAATACACCGTCTTACTCAAAGAGGAAAATGGCAGTTTCCAGTCAAGTGTGACTCTACGAAGATCCAAAAACTGGAAGTATGGTTTAAATAAATAGCGTTTTTTCAATTAAAAAAAAAAAAAACAAGAAGTTATCTATGAATAACAACAAAGTTAAGCGAATAAAACCAAATTTAGTTTTTAAAAAAGTTGCGGCTTCCAACAATTATACAAAGACAACACCGGGTCTGCTGGATGTGGCGGTGGAGTCACACGGGGAAGTGGGGTGTGTGGAGACATGGACGGAGGCCACACAGGGCTGGGACCGAGGGCTCTCCCAGGAGCACAGCTGCCCAGTGCCATCCCACACCCCCCACCCCAAAGGTCGCAACAGCAAAGCCAACGGAGAACCCTCCACAGTGCAGCTGCCCTGTCCACCACGTGAGTGCACCACAGACCGCTGGTCCCCTGCCCTGAGGGACTCTGCGCTCAGGAGAGGGCGACACACCGTGTGGGCCTCACTCCATCACTACCGACTGCCTGCCCTGTGTCCCCGTGTGCCCCCAGAACTCCGAGCAGGACCCGGCACACGACAGGGCTTCATGAGCTCCTGCTCTTCCAGAGGGCGAGGGTCTCCACCGCCCCACCTGTGCTGTCGAGAGGGCAGGCGGAGGCCATACGTGTACCTGTCCAGGTGATGCACAGGAACAGGACACAGGCATACACACAAGCTGTCCAGGGGACACACAGATACAAGACGCACATGACCCGTTCCAAACAACGTGTAAACACACACGCACGCACCCGGACCCAGGGGATGCGCAGGTACGGGACACACACGCACGCGCACGCACCTGGACCCGGGGGATGCGCAGGTACGGGACACACACGCACGCGCACGCACACACCTGGACCCGGGGGGTGCGCAGGTACGGGACACGCACGCACGCGCATGCACGCACCTGGACCCGGGGGATGCGCAGGTACGGGACACACATGCACTCGCATGCACGCACCTGGACCCGGGGGATGCGCAGGTACAGGACACACGCACGCGCACGCACGCACCTGGACCCAGGGGATGCGCAGGTACGGGACACGCACGCACACGCACCTGGACCCGGGGGATGTGCAGGTACGGGACACGCACGCACGCGCACGCACCTGGACCCGGGGGATGCGCAGGTACGGGACACACACGCACACGCACGCACCTGGACCCGGGTGATGTGCAGGTACAGGACACAGGCCACCAGGAAGCAGATGCAGAACACCAGCAGCAGGAGGACGACCACACTCCTAGGACAGAAGACACAGGCTCACTGCGGGCTGGGCGCAGCAAGGTGTGCCCAAGAAGAGCCTGCGATTCCAATGCCTGACCTCTCCACCAAGTCCCTTCCTGTCTCCACCCCGACTTCTATCCACTTGGGTCTGCCACGAGGTCCTCCCTCCTGAAGGACAGGCCCCTGGATGCTGCCCTCCCCTTGGATGTCATCTGAGAGCAGCTTCTGTAGAAAAAGCTGAATCCCCACACAGGGCCATCAGGTGGTCACCGTGTTCCCAGTGTCCGGGGACGGGGCAGCTTCCTGTGCTTTCTGGGAACCCCGGAAACTCACAGGGGAACAACTCCGCTAGGGAGGTCTTGTCAAGAAAGCTGTCTGTCTGGAAGGAAAATGCATCTTCCCATCAAAAACAAACACTGTAAGCTCACTTTGACTTAGCATAACTGAATATTATTCAATTACTACACTTTTCTTCTTTTCCAGAGGCCACTTTTCCTCATTTTGACGTATCTGAAAATGACGCACACCCAGAAACCAATGTGCATTTTCTCCCTCGAAATCTGTCCTGGAGTCAAGGGTACACGTTGTGTGGATGGAAACGCTAGGAACGGCTGGTGTCTTAGGGTTGTTTGCATGACAACGGAGAACCTGGGAGTGAGTGCCCCACACGCGGGCAGCTGGGGCCTGCCCTCCCGGCTCCCTGGAGCCCGCGGACAGCTGGCCGTGGCCGGCGCCATCCCCACGAGCTGGGGACCACGGGGGAGATGCCAGCGGACATGGAAGGGACCCCCGGCCCTTCTCCCCCAACCGCTGACCGCGGGGCCCGCCACACTTACTGCGGGATGATGAGAAGGTAGACGAGGCCGAACAAGGCGGCCAGGACGAGCGCGAGCACGACGGCACTGGTGAAATATTCATCCTGCAGCTGGTGGTACTAGGGGACACCGAGACCCACCATCAGTGGCTGTGGCCACTGGGAGACACGCGGGGTCCCCTGGGGACACCCGGGACCAGGAACCACAGCCGCATCAACAAGAGCAAGGGCGGGGGGCCACGGCCGAGGGGCCCCCAGGGTTCTCTGCGCTCCTGAGGTCCCGGTCACCTACCTTGCGCTCACGCTCAGCCTGCTTGTACTTCAGGGTGAAGAAGTCCAGGTCCGCCATCTCCAGCTCCATCTGACGGGCTTCCAGGAGGCGGCTGATGTACCTGTTGACGCGCGTGCCCGGGGTGGTGTAGACGACGTTTGCAGAGAAGGACGAGCGGTTTCTGAGTTTTTCCGACGCAGTTCTCAACGCCCTCCGCTGCAGCCACGGGGGAAAGAAAGAAATGTTAGCAAATCCTCCACTTACTGAAGAAGAAGCTCTCATGCTCCCTCCAGCCTGCGTGCTCGCCCACTGCAGTCTGGGGGGCCGGGTTCGGGGCTGGATGCAGTCCCAGCTACCCCGCCTGGGACTCCCACGTCTGCAAATGGGGGCACGTGACATTCATGTGGCACCCCATGTGGATGGGGGCGGTACCCAGCACAGGGCAATAAAACAGAGATTGGTTCTTTTAAAATATCAATAAAATGGACAAATCTCTAGCAGGCATGACAAAGAAAAAAAGAGAAAGGCGATAACAAACTCGGGAATGAAATGTGATTCTACTACAGACATTGCAGACATCAAAAAGGTAACAAGGAATTTCTGTGAACAATTATACACATTGATTTGACAACTCAGATCAAAAAGCTACTCAAAACACATAACCACAACTCACCCAACACGAAAGATTATTAGATTAGCCCTGTAATTACTAAAGAAAGTCAATTCATAACCGTAAAACTCCTGAAAAATTAATCTCCAGGCCCAGAGAGTTTCACTGGAGACATTCTACTAAACATTTAAATAAGAATTAACACCAATTCTATACAATATCTTCCAGAAAATAGAAAAGGTAACACCTTCCAACGTACTTTATAAAGTCAGTATTATCCTGATACCAAGATCAGACCAAGACAGTACAAAAAAAGGAACACCACAGGCCATCTCTTTCACTACTGATGCTAAAATCTTTAACAAAATGTCAGCAAACAGAATTCAGCAGTATATAAATAGCAGCATACACCATAACCATTTCTAGAGATGCAAGTCTTTTTACATATTTGTACGTCGATGCCTACACCATATTAACACCATAAAAACAAATCCCATGGTTGTGTCAATTGATACAGAGAAAGCATTTGACAAAATCCAATACACATTCTTGATAAACATGATCAGAAAACTAGGGAGGGAGGGGAAATTCCCCAACTTGGTGAAGATCTACACAGTACCGATAGCTAGCATCATAGTCTCTGGTGAAAAACGGAGTGCTTTCCCCCTGACTTTCAGCGGTGCTAGAGACTGCAAACACTGCAATAGGGCAAGAAAAGGAAATAAAAGGCAAATATTAGAAAGAAAGAACTAAAACTGGCCCTATTTGCAGATGACAGGATGGTCTACATAGAAAATTCCAAGGGGAGGAAAAGCCCTAGAACAAATGAAATCCACAAGGTCACCGGTAACAAGATAAACATAAAAAGGGTATTTACTGGGGCGCCTGGGTGGCCAGTCAGTTAGGCGTCTGACTCTTGGTTTTGGCTCAGGTTGTGACCTCAGGGTCGTGGGATCAAGCCCTGCGTCAGGCTCCGTGCTCAGTGGAGAGTCAGCTTGAGGTTCTCTCTCTCCCTCTGCCCCTCCCCCTGCTCCCACACATGCGCTCTCTCTCTAAAAATAAATAAGTAAATAAATAAAGGTATTTCTTAAACTAATAATCAGCATGTGAAGACCAAAGTTAAAATTCAGTGCCATTTATAATCACGGGGGAAAAAATGAAGTCCTAGGTACAACTCTAACAAAACACGTACACAACTTGTATGCTGAAAACTATATAATACTGATGGAAGAAATCAAAGATCTCAATACAAGGAGGGATACCCATGCTCATGGATTAGAAGATGTTTTTCTTTTTTTTTTATTTTAATTTAAAATTTTTTATTATGTTAATCCCCATACATTACATCATTAGTTTTTGATGTAGTGATCCATGATTCATTGTTTGTGCATAACACCCAGTGCTCTGTGCAGAACGTGCCCTCTTTAATACCCATCACCAGGCTAACCCATCCTCCCACCTTGTTTTTCAGAGTCCATCATCTCTCATGGTTCGTCTCCCCCTCCAATTTCCCCCCCTTCATTCTTTTTCTTAAAATCACTCAACCCAATGTTAAGACTTATTGTATAGCTCCTTTGATCAGGACAGTAGGGTGTTCTCAGAGGAACGGAACACCCTAGAGAGCCCAGAAACAGCCTCACACAAGTATGGTCAATGATTTTTGACTAAAATGCAAAAGCAATTCAATGGAAGAGGGATAGTCGTTTCCACAAATGGCGCTGGACCAAATGGACGTCCACACGCAAAAAAAGTAAATCTTTATTTTTTTAAGATTTTATTTATTCATTTGAGAGGGAGAGAGAGACAGAGAGAGTATAAGCAGAGGGAGAGGCAGAGGAAGAAGTAGACTCCCCACTGAGCAAGGAGCCCAACGTGGGGCTTGATCCCAGGACCCTGGGATCATTACCTGACCTGAAGGCAGATGCTCAACCATCTGAGCCACCCAGGCGCCCCCCAAAAAGTAAATCTTGACCTAAACCTCACACCTTATAAAAGATTAACTCAAAACACATCACAGGTTTAACTATAAAACATGTAAGTATAAACTCTTAGAAGAAAGGTGAAAATCTTTGGGGTTTGGGCTACTTAAAGATCTCTTGCAACACCAAAACCAAACACAGTTCATAAAGGAAAAAATATCAGTAAATTGGACATCTTCAAAATTTAAAACATCTGTCCTGTGAAAGACAAGCCACACGCTGGGAGAAAACACGTACAAACCACACATCTGACAGAAGAATCAGATCCAGAATTTGAAGAACTCTCAAAGGTCAACAGTACCAAGAAGTCACTCAGATTAGAAATCAAGACAGACATTTTTCCAAAAAAAAAGAAGAGAAAAATACGTGGACAGAAAATAAGGACTTGGGGGGGCGGAGCAAGACGGCGGAGGAGTAGGAGACCTGGATTTCGTCTCCTCTCAGAATTCAGCTGGATAGGGATCAAACCATTCTGAACACCTATAAACCCAACAGGAGATCGAAGAAAAGAAGAGCAACAACTCTCTCATCAGAAAAGCGACCACTTTCTGGAAGGTCGGACGTGCGGAGAAGTGAATCCGCTGCGATATTCGGAAGGATAGACGGCGGGGGAGGGGCCTCCGTGGGCCGCTTCTGGCAAGTGATAGAGCCGCGGAGCACAAAGTCGGAACTTTTAAAAGTCCGCTCCGCGAGGGACGTCACTCTGGTGGCTGAGCAGGGGGTGGAACCCTCCGGGACAGTGTGGTCTCAGGACCCTCGGGGTCACAGAAAGACCGGGGGTGCCTGAGTGCGGCAGAGCTCCCAGGTATTGGAGGAGGGAAGCCGGCTGCAGAGGCGGAGCCCAGGCGCGGGCTCTCAGCTCAGGGTGGCCATTGACCGTGATCCGCGGCACAGTCGGGCCCCTGCTCCTCCAGCAGGGACCCAACAAGCGGCAGATCCGGGGAGACTCCCCTTCCTTCCCTGGGAGGAGCCGCGCGGGAGCGCACTGCGGGGATCTGCTGGGTTTGGAGACTCCACCCGGGGTTGGGTGCCGGGGATAGAAACGCGCGGTCACAGGCCGGGTGAGCACGGAGTGCGGCCGGAGACCGGGGAGACGGGAGTGACTGACGGCTTTTCTCTGGGGGCTCACTGAGGAGCGGGCCCGAGTTCTCGGCTCCTCCGGGGCGGAGATTGGGAGGCCGCCATTTTCACTCTCCGCCTCCAACGCTGTACGGAAAGCTCGCAGGGAACAAAAGCCCGGAGAGCAAACCCCAGCAGATTCCTTAGCCGGGAGGGGGCAAGGGCGGGGCAATTCCGCCTCCGGCAGAGACATTTGGAAACCACGGCAACAGGCCCCTCCCCAGATCAGCGAGAACAGCCAGCCAAGGCCAAGTTTACCAATCAATGAGAACGGCAGAACTCCAGCGCTAGAGGACTACTGCACATAGAATTCACGGCTTTTTTACCATGATTCTTTAGTCTTTCAAAGTTAATTTTTTTAACTGTTTTTTTCTTTTTTTTTGCATTTTTCTTTTTCCCTTTTTCAACCAACATCTTATCAATCCCTTTTTTTTAAAAAACATTTTTATTTTTAATTTTTAGAGTCATATTCTATCCCTTCATAGTAGTTACCCGTATTTTTGGCTTATATATATAAGTTGTTCTCTCTGTAAAATTTTGAGATAGTTTCTTCTAACAGATTAAAATATACCCTAAATCTCTAGTATATGGTATTTTCTATTCCCCTGCCTGATCACATTCTCTCCCTTTTATTTTTTCTTTTTTCTTTTTTTAAATCCTCTTCTTTCTTTTTTCAAACAACTTCTTATCAATTCCTTTTATAAAATTTTTTATAATTTCCATCTTTACAGTCATATTCCATCCCTTCATCATATCAACCCTTATTTTTTTACATAATATAAGTTTTTCTTTCTTTAAAATTTTGGGAGGCACGTTCTTCTAAAAGACCAAAATACACCCCAAATCTAGTGTGTGGCAATGATCTATATACCAGCCTGATCATATTTGATCACATTCTGGGGTTTTTTTGTTGTTGTTGTCTTGTTTTGTTTTTGTTTTTATCTTTATCTTTTTCTTTTTCTTTTTTTTCTTTTTCTTTTTTCTCTCTTTCCCTTTCTTTTCCCACTGCTTCAGGTCTTTTCTGATTTGTTTAGAGTATATTTTCTGGGGACATGGTTACTCTGCTAACATTTTGTTCTCTCATTAATCTATTCTCCTCTGCACAAAATGACGAGACGGAAAAAATCACCTCAACAAAAAGAACAAGAGGTAGTACCGACTGCCAGGGACCTACTCAATACGGACATTAGTACGATGTCAGATCTAGAGTTCAGAATCATCACTTTAAAGATACTAGCTGGGCTTGAAAAAAATATGGAAGTTATTAGGGAAACCCTTTCTGGAGAAGTAAAAGAACTAAAATCTAACCAAGTAGAAATCAAAAAGGCTATTAATGAGGTGCAATCAAAAATGGGGGCACTAACTGCTAGGATAAATGAGGCAGAAGAGAGAATCAGTATTATGGAAGATGAAATGATGGAAAATAAAGAAGGTGAGAAAAAGAGACATAAACAACTACTGGATCACGAGGGCAGAAGTCGAGAGATAAGCGATACCATAAGACGAAA